GATGAACTCTGCATAGTACATGTCTGGCTGGTAAGTGGAAGAGCAATGGTTGTCAAACCGTTGGCCGACCAACCCAACGGTCACACTGTCAAAGAGTCGTCCGGTTGTCGAAGAGTCCTCAACCGTCCTGAACGATTGTAACCATTTATAGCACATAAGGTTATCGAGTCTAGATTAGCTCTGAAAACAAATGTACCCCTTTAGAGCACATGGCTAGCTAGGACCCTTTGAATTCCTTGTGCAACTATGTAATATTTTGTACTCTATGCTATTATTATCTTGCTATTTTACATTAACTCTGGCAAGATCAACGCTTTTGTTGCCTTCATACTTAGAGCACTCTTCTAACTTTGATCACTCAAACCTTAGAAGAGTAGCACTTAGGGTAGCAAACTTCCGTACCCTCATTCTCAAGGGTAGAAAGTTTGCCGGCCTGTTCAAACAGGGAAAATGTTCCGAAGCCCTTTTTTGGATTTCCATCAAGGCTGCAGCAATACATAGACAACAACAACTACCAAAACATTAGGAGTCAGCTCTAGAATGGTTTATGAAGCGCTAAAGCTAAACTAGAGTCAGAGCACACTGCTCTCTTGCTTCATCTCTGCACTACCCTATACCACCTCCGCTAGTGCTCTTCGCTCTACTAATGGTAGGGGCCCACCTCCGTCCACAACTTGCTGACCCACTGGACCCAGGTTCACTCTACTGAGGTCTCTAGTAGGCATGCGCTCCTTCTCAGTGTGTAATTTTGCCACGACAGTGTACTAGTCGTTCTGGTCCTCCAGCCGGGAGCACCACATCAGGTCATTGGCATGAAAGGCATGAAAGTTTCTCATTTAAGGGGAAATGCCTCACGACTCTGATGCAGCAGGGTCAGGGGGACACGCACCTTGATTTAGCCATGGTAAAAAATTTGCTACGTATTGTGTCTCACGGTTATAAAACCACAAACCTGAAAAATCAGCCTACCAATGCACGCACAAACACACATTTTGTGAAGTTGTTTCATGTTTCGCACCATCAAAAGGTAAAAAGGAATGCATACCGAGGATGCTAGCAGGGTCTTGCAAATTGAGAATGACTAGGGTTGAAGAAACATGATAAATATGGGGCAATACACTTCACCAACAATGGCCTGAAAAATCTCGTTTCTTTGGGCCAGAAACTTGTTTTGATTGGATAACAAAAGACTCAATTCTGGTGCAGGCAAATGTGATGGTCGCAATCCTTCCTGGTGCATTTCCTCGAATAAAACACCCTGGGGTGATAACAAAGAATGCATGCAAATTTTGGGGTGAGTATATTTAGTGGCACATTTTGAATAACTCAAGGGGGTTTTGAAATGTGTATGCATGATTTTGTTTTTTCAAAGCAAAGTGCAGCAAAACAATAGTTTATTTCTCGATTTTCATCTCTCGAACGCATACAAAGTGGGCATTCAACTTTATTGGTTCAGTGCACAACCGTTCAGCATTAGAGCACTACGGGACACCAAACGGCGTTGGAAACATGTGTCCAATCATAGTACTTTCTTGGATCTCAACTTTGCATCAGTGTACATGAAACGTCCACTCGGTTTCGGTTTCAAGATCATCATTCAAAACACACAAACCTTACCATGACGGTTTGGACCTATGAAAAATGACACTTCGAGAACAGGCGGGTGTTTAAATGTTTTCGAGTCAAAAAGTCGGGTGTTATGTACATCTAGTAAAATTGAACACCCATTTTTGCTCAAACCACCCGTGGGTGATCAATTTCGGTGAGTGTATTGTACAGGGGAATATGGCACTTCACATCGCGAACCTGACACACTCTTGAATTCCAGGTGCAAATTGGCGATCGATGGGAACAACGACAAACTAAAAAATGTTTACACTTGTTGCCGGAACTTAGATGGGTGAAACCATCATGACACGCTGAGCCTACTGCAAAAAAAAAAAAAAAAAAAAAAAAAAAAAACCCTCCAAAATTGCACAAGGATTCTAAAGCCTAAACGTGAAATAGAGCTTCCACCCCCCTATTTTGACCGAATTATGTACATCACCTGGGGTGTTAAACCGGGGGATTATGTCACGTGTGTAGTGGAGAGAGAAACTGGTATTTTCTATATGCACTTGAAGTCATAGGCTAGAAAGGCAAAGCGGGGGCTCTCTTAAAGCTTGATTCCTTTAGTCAAGAATAACATATTTTCTTTCATTTCGATCAAACAGATGGTACATATGAAAAAATGGAGCGAACGTTAACTATACATTCAAGGCAAATGTATTAGGCTAGACAGATTCGTGCTCTTAGAGAGTACAACCCAAACCCTTATATCACCCTGTATGCACATGCTAAAGTTCACTTCATCATGCTGACAAGGTATCATACTAGGTAGGTCTGGGCCCTAGCCCGCCGCGCTGGCCCCTTCGCTCGCCGTGCTGGCCCCTAGCCCGTCGCGCTGGCTCCTTAGCTCGCTGCGCTGGCCCCTAGCCCGCCGCGCTGGCCCCTTAGCTCG